CTCGTAGTCGGCGACCTCTCCAAGGCTACAGACAAGCTGATACAACATCTGTCAGCCAGTAAGACCAACGTCTTCGGAGACAGATCGCGGGTGGAGAGGGTAGAAAAGCCGAAGACAATGGCCGCGCAAGCTTACAGCCACATATCGAACTTCTACGCGGGCAAGATGAAATCCAGCCAGGAAGCAGACTCAGAAAAGCAAGGCGCCATTCTGGACAAGGTACATCAGTTGTCAGAGCATGTGACAATCTGCCTCTCAGCGATGATCACGTATCTCAGCGAGTACGGCCTGGAACACGTCTTCGATCTCACAAAGTACTTCCAGCCTTTCAGTGCCAGGTCTTACATGCTGCTGAACGGAAACACACTCTCTAGTTTGGAAATCTACCAGAACCAAACGGACTACACTTCGAAGGGCAGCTTATTCTGGACCATGAACAGAACAAAGACCCGTTTTGGGCAACGGTTGCTGAGAAAGTGGGTTGGCCGACCCCTCATAGACAAGGAGAGATTAGAAGAGCGCATAGCAGCGGTGGAAGAGCTCAAGGAGGGCGAGAACACGATCCCTGTCGATAAGCTCAAGTTCGTGCTCGGAAAGATCAGGACAGATCTCGAAAAGGTGCTCATCCGCATTTACTACAAGAAGTGTACAAGGCCCGAATTGTTGGCAGCTTTGCAAAGTCTGCAGGAGATTTCGAGCCAATACTTGTCGGCGAAGACACCCGAAAAGAGTGGTTTCTCCTCGTCGTTACTGAGTGAAGCTGTTTCGAATGTTCCGAAGATCTACGATGACTTGAACAGCTTTCTGGAGAGGATCAACGCCAAAGCCGCAAAAGATGACGACAAGTACTCGTTCTTCCGTGAAGAACATGAGGCCGAAGATATCAACGATCTAAAATTGAGCATTGCCTCTGTTGAAGACGACCTCAACACGCACCGAAAAGATGCAGCTGCCAAGCTGGGGAAGAGCAAAGTAGACTTCGTCACTGTAGCTGGCATTGAGTACTTGATCGAGGTTAAGAGGAAGGCACCCGAAGAGAAGAAAGTGCCTGCTTCGTGGCAGCAGATCTCAGCTACCAAGACTACACTGCGTTTCCACACGCCAGAGGTTAAGCGCATGCTACAAGAGCGAGATCAGTACAAGGAGTCGCTGGCGGCGGCATGCGACAAAGCTTACATGGGCTTGCTAGAGGAGATCTCGTCCAAGTATCAACAACTGCGGGACTGTGTAGCTTCTCTAGCCACACTCGACGCCCTCCTTTCCCTGGCTACCTTGGCAAACCAGCCAGGTTACGTCAAGCCGACCTTCACAGACAACATCGAGCTCAACATCACCGGTGGTCGGCATCCTATGGTCGAGCAACTGCTCCTCGAAAACTACGTTCCCAACGACCTCACCCTTTCACACGATTCTACCCGTGCTCTACTGATCACCGGCCCCAACATGGGCGGAAAATCCTCTTATGTGCGATCTGCAGCTCTAATCGCCATCATGGGCCAAATCGGCTCCTACGTCCCCGCAACGGAAGCGCGACTCGGCATGCTAGACGCGGTCTTCACCCGCATGGGCGCATTCGACAATATGCTCAAAGGCGAATCAACCTTCATGGTCGAGCTCAACGAAACCTCCGACATCCTCAAATCCGCAACACCCCGTTCCCTCATCATCCTGGATGAGCTGGGCCGCGGTACCTCAACCTTTGACGGTGTCGCCATCGCAGAAGCCGTGCTCGACTATGTTATCCGCGACTTGCAGTCACTCACGCTGTTCATCACACATTACCAGCATCTGGCCAAACTGTCAGGCCGCTTCCCCAACGGTGAGCTGAAGAACGTCCACATGCGCTTTGAAGAGCAGAATGGTGGGAAGGAAGTTGTGTTCTTGTACGAAGCTACGGAGGGTATTAGCCACCGGTCTTACGGGCTGAACGTTGCGCGGTTGGCGAGGGTACCTGAGAAGGTCATTGATGTGGCGGAGATAAAGAGCGCGGAGCTTGAGGAGAGCATGGGGGCTTGTAAACTGGGGAACTTGTAAGTCGTATCCTAGGCAGAGGATGCTGAGAATGAGTGCTAACATTAAGCAGGTCGCGCATGATGAAGGGCTTGCTGACTGAGGGATCGGAAGCAAGTCTTGATAGACTTGTTGAGGGTATCGAGCAGCTGTAAGATATGGATGTGTTGTATTATATGGAGATGCGACGGGGCCATCGTTCTTGGGAAAAGGTGGAAGCATCAGGCGTTTGATGACGGTGTATATGGGTAGTAGATTTGCGTGTATCAACAACGCATCGCTGCGTCGCCAGTTCGGGTCTTGCCGGAATATTTAAATCGCGCAAACGAATCACATCACCGTCGACAAGATCATATCACTTTCTTGCTTGTGGTGTATTGTCATTGTTTCATTTCATGACTATCATAACCATATCATTGTGATCGCAGTCAATGGCCAGCGGATCTCCTGTCCTCCCGGCTCATGGTATACCCACCATCACGCCTTGTCCTAGCTCAACAGCTTAACCGAGACGAGTCTCCTTGTCCTTGATGGGCATGTCGGAGCCAGTGGTAGACTTGTACTGGCCACGGATGAAGTCGCTGATCTGTTCGTCCTTGGCTTGCTCGACGGCGGACTCGTTGTCCTGAGCACCCTGGCCCATGAACTTCTCTTGGACGAAGTCGACACCTGGCATACACAGTTAGCACGTGTCACAGAGTTATAGCACGGCATGATAGACGTGGGTGGGGTGGAGGACGACATACCCTTGTCGAGGTAGTCCTCGTTCTTCTCGCTCTCCTTGCCGCCGCCAGCAGCGGAGTTGAGCTTGTCACCGATGCCACCGAGGAAGCCACCGGAGCCGGAGGACTTCTGCTCAGAGCCCTGGCCTTGGACGACCTGCTCGTTGACGGACTGGCCTTGGTTGTTACCGCCGCCAGCGAGCTTGTTGACGAAATCCATGATGTTTGTTTGTTGTGATTGAAGGTAGGTAAGGTAAGTAAAGAGTCAGAGTAGTAAAGGTGAGAGTAGTCGTGTGAGGTTGTGATGAGTGATAAGCCGAGTGTACTGGAGGAGAGAGAGAGCTATTTAAGCAGCTGATTGCAAGGCAGGGATGGTTGATCTTGGAAACGGGAGCACCGATGGGTCAATGGGGTCAATCAAGATCTAGTCCCTGGTGACAGAAGCCTTGGTATTGGAGCTAAGCGTGTTTGATAGGTGCGTGTCGCAGCGTGCAAGGAGGCTACGGGCGACGTACCTGATGCGATGCTGGTTCTTGGTCGGCACTGCCCCGCCCAAATGCGCGCCGACGTCATCAGACACCCCGCCATCGCGGAACCTGAAACTAGTCCCTTTGCGAGGCCAAGCTCCGCTGTCGCGTCTTGCACGTGCGAGCAACCTTGCGATTAACCTTGCGACTGTGACCTTGGAAATTTGAATTGCTTCTTTGAGGGATTTCAGCTGGATCGACGCGTCTGTGCTGTTGTCGTCATCGCCATGATACCTATCACTATTATCACCGGCTTCTTGGGCTCGGGAAAAACAAGTACGTAGTAATTTTCAGCTGCTTTCTCAGGAACTAGTAGCACAGTGCCAGCACGTCGCATTGCGCCTGTATAAGCCGTCAAGAACGTGTAAATCACATCGAGAAGAGTTATAACCTTGCTAACAACCTTGCAGCGCTCATCCTGAACCTAATTCCCCAACTACCCAAAACCTACAAACTCGCGCTCTTGAAGAACGAATATGGCGACATCAAAGTCGACACAGCGCTTGCCTCCTCAGCCGCCATATCAGGTGTGCAAGAACTTCTCAATGGATGCATATGCTGCAACCTCGTCGGGCAGCTCTCCGACGCCCTCGAAACACTCGCCAACGACGTAAACCCCGACCGCATAGTCATCGAGACCTCCGGCTCTGCCTTCCCCGCAACCCTCGCCATGGAAGTAAACCGACTGAGCAGAGAAACGGGCAAATACGTTCTAGACGGCGTCATGAGTGTGATCGACGTGGAGAATTGGAAGGGCTACGAGGACACGAGCTACACGGCGAAAATGCAGGCGCGCTACACCGATCTCATTGTTCTTAACAAGCACGAGCTTGTTAGCGAGAGGAGGTTAGAAGATGTTGAGGATGCAGTGCTAGCTCTAGAGGTGGAACCGCAAATACCCAGGACCAAGAGCAGGAAAGGGTGGGTGGATAAGGATATTGTGTTTGGATTGGATGCGAGGCTGGCAGGGGTCACTGAGGAGAATAGAAGCGCGCACGCACACGAACATGACCATGATCATTCCAGCGAAGTCGAGGTCCTCACAGTCACACTGAAAAGCCAGGATGGAAACAGTAGTGTCGACACCGCGAAACTTGCTAAGCTCCTCGAAGACCCCACCAAAGACGAGGTGTACCGGATAAAAGGCATTCTATATTCTTCGACGCCACCGAAATCATCGGACTCTGATGCCGATGCGCATCAGAAGGTACCGGAGGGTCGAGCAAGATATATTCTGAACTGGTCGTTCGGTCGCTGGACGTTTACTCCAGTGCCATTACCCGCTGGCGAGGGTTCTAGCGAGGAAGAGCCGGTTCTAAGGTTGACGGTCATTACGGCGAGGTATGAGTCGACCAAGTGGAAGAAGGAGATTGAGTCGTGTGGGTTGATTGCGTTAGAGGGTGATGCTGAGGGCTCGTTGACGGTTGAGAAGATAGCATAGGTGGAGGATGCATGTTTGATATACCCGATTCAACTATTAGACTTGTAGAGTAGACTAAAACAACTTAGATGATTTTCTGTGTACTCAGTATTCTGGTGTTGTTCCTAATGGATGCTTGCGCGATTGGTGGCTAGCGTGTGGGGCGCTGATGTCAGACGTCCTCAGCTCCTTCCTCCTGTCCCTTCCAAGGTTCTTTACAGAAGACATGACACTCACCGCATGCATCACGACGCCTTTACAGGATACATAACTGCTACGCTCGCTTCTCCATTTTCATCTGGATTACTTTGTTGCCTTTATCTACTCCAATGAGCTGCCTTCCTCCTTCTGCCTGAGCTTCAAACCTCAGGCGTAGACTTCTTCTGCACTTTCGGTGACGGCTCTGAACGTCTTTACCCCTTTGTAATCAACATGCTACACTATAAAAAGCCAGTAGGCTACTTTCTAGCGCCATGTCTCCTTCTCGAGAAGAGTTTCCTGCCTTCTGTATTGCTAGTGTCGCTTCTGCCATATCCTTAACAAAACCTTCCTGATGTTGAACAAGGCCGACAAACTCGTCGCGCTGATCCTGTCCCCAGGACTTGCCCCCGTGCGCGAAGGTAGCTGCCACAACTAGATCTCCGAGCAAGCCCTTTTTGTCCTCACAGATCTTGCCAGCACCATATGTCCACTCTACAAAGTCCTTCATGGCCGTTGGCGGAAAGCCAGCTCTGCACAGAAGCTGTTCTATCAACTTGGCGTACACGGCGTTGATCAAGGCCGAGTATTCCAGGAACTCCGCGAACCTTACCATTTCCAGGTTGAAACGCACTGACTTCATATCGCGGGTGAAGTCAATATAGGGTGAATTAGGCCTGTTCTCTGCGTGCGCGATGTTCGATACTTCCGTCTCGATATTGCGCTTATATTTATGGAGATAGAGGAAGTTGATGAAACGGTCCACGACAATGGGAGAGAATCCGGGGAAAGGTATCTCGACCGGGTGCTCTGGGGTCTAAGCCATCAGTGTAAGCAGACTGAATCACGACGAGATTGGGTTTTAGGTATACGTACGCCCTGGAAAAGACACTTCAACATCCAGTCTGCATTTGGACCACCGAGCGCCCAGGCCGAATGTATCGGGAATATGAGCCCGTGTGAATTGAGAAGGATATCGCAACCAAGCTTGGACTGCAGGACCTTGTTCGCATGTCTGTCGGGTCAGTGGAAGTACTCAGCGGGGTAGAATTGACATACTCGGCGCGCTCAGATTCTTCTGTCGGTAACTCCAGATGGTCCTTCTCGAAAGCAATCCGCAGGAGGTTCTCGAGCGACATCCATTTCGGAGCTGGAGGTTTCGGAATCGCGCCAAAAGACATCGTGCTTGGTTAGACACCTTTGAATTCTAGGAAAGAGCTCTATAGAGTAAGAAAGGAAAACAAGTGAACAAACAATTGTGGTCGGGAAACGGCCAGTATGGCGCTAGGCAATTGCCTAATAGGGAATGCGAGCAATGCCCTATCACTGAGCCCTATTGTAACCAGAACGCGTGCAAAAAGGAAAAGCTTACCCAAAATCGAACTTACACTGCTCTTGGTACCTACGCCGCCCTTCATAACGAGACGTGGTTCAAGACCCGTCGCATCGCGTATAGTGAACTTCTTCCCAAGGCGCCGTACCTCTCCAAATACCGCGACTTGGCTTTGGCTGATCTCCCGGAATTCATCCAAGCTCATCATCTCGCTGGTATAAAAGCCAGGCTTACTGATTCTGGACGCGGATTTGAAGACGTCAAGATGCGCTCGTCGATGCTTATGGACACAGAGGAGTAGGTCTGCCGACTACGGTCCTGGTTCTCAAGAGCGTTGATATCAGCTTGTGGATGTTTGCCGCATACGAGGTATCTGGCATGATGGCATTGAAGGGTACGAAAGACAATGTATTTCCATACCCTGTTGACAAGTCGACCTTTGATAGTCTGTTTCCAGTGGAGAACCTCCTGGCATAAGCATGCAGAGCACATCTGGGTAGTGATAAGTATATGTAGCCGCGAAGTCGAGGATGAAAAAGTCCATGTGAACCATACCTAATGAACCATTTGTAAAGTCATCTCATGTCACCGACATATTTTCATATCACGTCCGATATCTCATGCAATAGGTAATGTAAGGTAAGACATATTGCATTATATATACAGTCATTACATGCCCAATCGTTGGACTTTTCCCAAGCTCCAAGCGCGATGATGAGCTTCCAAACTCCTCTTCCAGTCATTAACTACATAAATATCCATCTCCCAGTAAACCATGATGTCGATTTACAACATACCAAGAGCGAGTCCAAGGGCGCCAATACCCATGGCGGCGCCGGCAGTCTTCATAGCAGCAGGGTTGCTAGTCTCGGCAGGGACAGTGTTCGTGTCGGTGTCTGTCTCGGTGGTGGTGGCAACGAGGCCGTCGCTACCGGTGGTGACGATGACGGCTACGGAAGTAGTCTGGATGACGGAGGTGACGGAAACGGTGTTGGTGTCAGTGACAGTGTTGGTGTCGACGGCCGTTGTTTGGACTGCGCCAGCGCCTCCTCCAACTACGGTGGTAGTCTGGTATGCGCAGTCGGTTAGGAGACGGTACTGGTCGCTGCCGTCGTCGTTGTCGTTGCCGTTGTACTGCCTGACGCAGGCCTCGCACTGTGGGATCAACTGGTTTGCGTTGTTGGCTGTGCAGATGCACTGAAGGACAGCGGATGAGTCGTCGTCTATAGCTTTGTTAGATTCTTGTTGTTCGATTCTAGATGAGATACTTACTGCTGTCGTTCTTGCAACCGTTGGTGATGGAACCGACTTGTGCGCAGACATCAGTGCACTCCGCGGGGATGTTGTCGAAGTCGAAGTCAGTGTCCTGAGCAGCAGCGAAGGCCGCAAGGGCGGAGATGATGGTGAGCTTTGAGAACAGCATATTGTTTGATTGATTGATCGAAGTTCGATTTGTTGAGAGTGAGTGTAGTGGTTTTGAATCAAGTGGAACTGATGAGAAGGCTGATTGTTGTGATGATGGGCTTTCAACATGTCGAGCATGGCGACTCTTATACCAAATGTGCTCCTCCTTCCATCGCCCATCGGACGGTCTCCGCCCTGGCTTCTGCAGAGGAATCAGGTACCATGGTATTACCAGAGCCGTCGTACCCGAGTTCGCTCATGCACTTGATGAGATGGCATGCACCGTCGACCTCTGGCATTGGCTTTGCTGTTTGCTAGACGTTATGATAGCGCCCCGATGGAAAGGGCCGAATGCGAAGTGACATCACACTTATCATTTGCATGTCGTTCTGGTCGAACCTGGAGGCCAGGCACAGTGTGTCTGGATGCCGCCAAGCGATTGAAGCATATGAAGGTTTCGCGGAGCCACGCGATGGACATGGAGACAGCGCAGGCCGACGTCATTGATGCTTGGCACGGCGAATGTGGATCCACCCGAGCAACCGAGCGATCACGGCCGATCATCCGGAAAGCTTGTCGTTTGCTCCAGAACGCGCCGACTTTGCGGAGGAAAAACTGGAGAACGTAGGCTTAGGCCGCATGAAACGTTGTTAGTCCGGCTGTACGGCAAACATCGTCAGTCGGCGGCGAACTTCTTTCTGGTAGCTGTTACCCCTGTATGACGCAAACATGCAATTACTTATGCTTTTGAAGTCAGTATGTCATGGCTTGTACCAAGCTTCAAATCACGTAGTGTGTCTGAACCTCCCTGTCAAACGGCTTGTTCAGGAACGCAGAGCCTCCCAACATCGAATCTGCTAACTCATTGACATCGAAGTATCAATGCGTAGCCTAGCATTAGGATTAGAATTTGTTGATAGTGCTTCAACGGAAAGACCGGAGTGGCCATCGAATTGTTTGGCTGTCAATGCATAGAGCATCATGAAGTAGGATCTGCCTGGTATCATCTTGGTAAAGCTACGCAGGCCAAGAATGGCTGAACCCACTCGTGATAGGCTGTCGACTAGCACCTTGCCGAGAAAGCGTCTTGCACAACAAGCGTGATACATGGTCCGTTGCTTGAAGCTTGAGGGCAACGGATCGTGTCGGCTCGAACGGAAGACTGAGCAGTCTATCAGTGATTATGATACCCATGTTCTGTTCATGAGTTTCATCAACGACAGATAGTGTAACATCGGCAACTTTGCCTATACTATACTGCTGTTGATTGCCATAACTGGCGAACATTACGTTGTTTCCTCGGAGGCGAAGTTCCCACTGCGCATAGCTTTACAGCGTCGTCTTGGCAACCCGCGCTACCACAGTTTCTAGGCCGTCATTAGCTGCATACGCTAGGGGCGTGGCAGGAACATACCGTTGTTCTAACTGGCATGACCGGCGACATGGCAAACCAGTAGGGCGGCTCTATAATAGCCACTGCGGGTAGAACATAGCGCGAGGTCAGACAATGCCGTCAGAGCCGTGTGTAGGTTCGCTGTTGCCGTTGCCGCCTCCAATAGCGTAAAGATGGAAAGTCGAGGCTCTGAGTCCGTTGCTGTGCTGATCTCAGCAGCCTGGGCCACGTAAGAGGTAGTCGACCGCTGCTAAACGACGAACAGTGGGCGCTGTCTAGGAGCTCACATTCATCCATTTGGAATGTGTTCCAGTAACCCAGAAGAGTGCGCATGCGATACGATGTCGAGGTAACTTGGATTGACAGCAAGCCGCTTCTCAAAGTACCGGTCAGGAACGTGGGCCAAGTATTTTCGTATAAATGAAGCGGAAAGGATGTGTCGGCGACCACGTCCGCTGAACATAATTGCGGAAGCTGACCAAAACCGGGCACATGGATGCCATCGATACAGTTTCTGCGGAGGCGTTGATCTGTTCTTGTGGGCTCGCGCTCGAATTTGAAGTCTGTTCGCGAGGAACTTTGGGTGCGTACATTGGTGGGTTGGTGAGTCGATAACGGTGGTTTGCCAGGGTTCGTCGAGGCGTCAATGTGTGTCCATTCACCACGGAAGATACTATACCTTATGCATATGGGCACTTGTAATTATATCTCTACATGTGCGCATTAGTGTAATTCCGACCAAGTAGTTGCACATATGCGTTGCTTACGTGTATTATGCTCGACTGCTCGGTCTCCGTTGCATCGCGCCTCCAAATGGGAGCAGGTTCACCTGCGCATCGACATGGAGCGGATCATTGGACAGTTTGTAGCACAATACAGCACGGGTAAGCGCTCATGCCTCGTGATGACAGTCGTTCACTTCGCGGGAAGTTGCTGGGACGTGACTATCGTGGTGGGTGGTTGTGGGTGTTGCTCGAAGTTCAAATGAGTGCGACAGCGTCCAGGTGATCTGATCTCGAACGGGAATAGCAGATCAGCACTGTCGTTATCCCCGGCCGCTCCTTCTTACTTAATCCGTAGGGGTAACTACATCTGCTCACTCATTACAAGCCCAATCACGTCTCTCAACTGATAATCTTTCATTTATAGTGGCAGTAAAATGATGAAAGAATGTGTTGTATCTACCACCCTTCCGTCACGTACCAGTACTCCCACAACCCCAAATGCTCCAGACCGATCGTCACACATATGTGTATCATACCCGGGTATCATTGCCACTCAAAGACTGCACACACTACTACTAGGACACGTTCCAAACAGACACGGTGAGAGACACGCCTGTCTTTTTTCTAACTCATACCAACATGATCCTCAAGAGGACAGATGTAATGTAAAACCTTACAACAGCACGTACCCTCTACCTAGCTTGCACGGCGGGAAAGTAGCGGGGTCCGGAGTACCCGTAGAACTGGACGCTCTCAATGTCGATGTTGCCATCGTGTTTCGGGCTCCAGAACTTGAGTAGGACGTGTCTTCCCGAACTGGAGAATGCGTTAGTAAACCGATGGCTCCCTAGGGTGACCAGACCAAACTTACATTGCAGGGTGAAATTTGATCGTGATCTTATTCTTGTTCTTCGCAATGAAGAAGCGCGCATGTGGGGGTATGAGTGGCTCGTCATGGGTTCGTTCGGAAGGTTCGATGCGGCTGGGCGCAGCTACACGAGACGCTCGGATGGGCTCCAGATAGCGCTCTCTCCGCTCCCGCCATTCGCTGTATGTGCTGTAGTCGAGGGCCGGCGCGCGACGCAGCGGACCCAGGCGGGGAATGACTTCATCGTCATCGTCGTCGCTGTCTGGACGCCAACGGCTTTCTCTTCGAAGGCGGTCGGCCATGATGGCAGCACTGGGTACTTCTTCGTTGGAGTCCGAGTCTTCATCCTCGCTTGCAGCAGTAGTAACTGTAAAAGGCGGTGGGGTGGGTGCAGAAATGCCAGCGGGACCGCTGTAAGAGTCATCCGCTGCGTGATCACAATTGTCACCTTCTGCTTCGTCTTCGTGTTCTACCATCTGGCGCATTATCCGCCGACGTTCAGAGTCGGAGCGCAAAGACGATATCCAGTTCGCAGATTCGGCATTCAGCCTTTCACTGCGGAGACGAAGATTCTCGATGCGCTCCTCCATATCCTCGCGAGGGCCCTGATTCGAGTATTGCCACACCGAAGGATCTTCAAGGGCCTCTCGCAACGACATGTGTTCGTTGGCCTCGTTTGGAGAACTGGGTGTCGGAGACATCAGCGGCGATGGAGTGTCGTAGCGGAGATTGTAGGCTGAGGTGCCGGACAGGAGTTCATCTGCAGACATGGATACAAATACAAGACCTTCTTGAACGCTGGTGTCAGGTTAGCAATGATCAAAGACGAAGCGGAGACACATACGGAGCCGTAAATCCACGGTCCGGTGCTCGAATGACGATCTTCTCCAAGGCGAAGGGGGCTTCTCCGATGTGTTTCAAGAGAAGATTGCACTGGGAGCTCTCGCTGCAGTATACACTTTTGTCGTTCCTCAAGACATTCTGAACCCTGTATAGCCCAGGTGGATTGTCTCTGCGATGCTCACCACCGTCACAGCTTATGATCTCCATGCGCAGACGCCCAGGCACTACCTGACCCCTGTGGCCGTACTTGAAGCACATGTACTCGGCAGCAGCGCTACTGTCATGTTCCAACTTCCTCCGCTTGTGTCTGCGCTCGTTGTTGAGTTGCACGATGGGGCTACGAGAGCGGGGCTGTGTATTCGAGATAGTAAAGGGATTGCTTGTCGGTAGGTCACTCAGTGAGTCAAGAACATCGTTGGTGGCGTCCATGTCGGCCAGGCGCTGTTCCCTCGTGCGGGCCTGAGAGCGGCGGAGGTAGCTTTCGCTTGGTACGGCGCGCGGTCGGTTGGGGTTTGCAGTGGGCGGCCGGCGGGCAAGATTATCCGCGGCGTCGCTATCACGTGGGGGACCGAATAGGCGGTGCAGCGGGCCTCTTCTGGTTGACGTGCGAGTGCGCACGCGGCGGGCAGGGTCTCTGGGGGATGACGTCGCATCGTAAGCGGCGGGCGTGGGTTCGGCTAGGGAGCGCAGCGCATTTCTGGACGCGCTGGTAGAGGCAGAGCGAGAGACGGTCGGCGGCGAGGTCGAGGCATGGGGAAAGTCAAAGCTGCCCGTCGTGAAGGCCAGTGGGAAGGGCGCAGGCGGTGGGGACGGAGAGGAGGGTGGTCTGGGCATTGGTGACGTCGGCGCTCGCTCCCATTGAGGAGACGAGGTATGGCGAGTAGTTAGGCTCACACGCAGAGGAGAGGCTAGTAGTTTACGGTGGGAGGGTAGGAGACGGCACTTGTCGAGGCTGAGGCGACGAACAAGCAACGCATCTTCTAGTCGGTCCCGTGTGGTTGGCACGCGGGGTGCGCACGAGCCACCGCAGAGCCGCACAGGCAGGCTACGAGGGTGCGAGGTAATGCCGTCACCGCTAGCTGCCTTTACTCGGCCCTCTGCAAGACGCCCGTCCAGCTTGAATTAGCCCATACGCAGCCAGCGTCTTGCTCCGGTCCACCAACTATCTGACTGCCCTGCGTGATCGCGCAATCAACATCTCGCATACGCGTCTCTTTACGCCCATATACATACCCGCGCGACGACAAACACCATGGCTGATCTCACCGAGCCGTCCCCGGTACCTCCGCCGGTGACCAATGGCGCGTTGCCTGCTGCATTGCCTGCCGAGGACGCAGCTGGCGAGACGGTCGCCGCCATCGCTGAGGCCGACAAGATATCCGCAGGTAAGCGCGAAGCAATGGCAGTCGCAGCAGTGCTAACTTCCGCGCTCAGATGAAATCGCCCTCTACGACCGCCAAATCCGCCTCTGGGGCGTCGCGGCGCAAGAGAAGATCCGCACCGCCAACATCCTGCTCGTCTCCATCAAAGCCCTCGCCAATGAGGTCGCCAAGAACCTTGTCCTCGCCGGCATAGGCTCCATCACCCTCGCAGACCACGAAGTCGTCACCGAAGATGATCTGGGCGCGCAATTCTTGATCAGCGACGCCGATGTAGGCAAGAACCGCGCAGAGGCAGCATTGCCTCAGGTGCAAAAGCTCAACCCGCGCGTCACCGTCAAGACCCTCACCACCGACATCCGCAACGAGCAAGATCCCAACTTCTACGCCGCCTACGACATCATCATATGCACCGACATGGACTTCCTCTCCACCTCCGCCCTCAATGCCGGTGCGCGCATAGCACGGAAACCCTTCTACGCGGGCGCATCGCACGGCATGTACGGCTACATCTTCGCCGACCTGGTCGAGCACAACTTCGTTATCGAGCGCGAGAAGAGCAATCGCGACACGCAGGTCGGCGCTGAGAGCACAACGAGGAGCATCAAGAGCGTCCAGGTCAAGAAGGAGAACGGAAAGGTGGTCGAGCTGGTCAACAAGCAGGAGCTCTACAGCCCATTGATGCTGGTCAAGGACAGTCCACTCCCTGCGGATATTGCAAACAACGCCAGGAGGCTGAAGAGAGTCCATCCCCTACTCACCTGTGTACGCGCATTGTGGGAGTACCAGCGCATGGGCTACGGCATCTACCCTTCGCATACACCAACAGATCTTCAGCTCTTCACCACCATTGCGAACCAGAAGCACAAGGAACTGCTTCTTCCTGCAGAGTCTCTCAAAGCCGAAGTCCTCCGCAGCTTCCTTCAGAACCTGGGTAGCGAACTGGCACCCGTCACGGCTTTCCTGGGCGGTCAGCTGGCCCAAGATGTCATCAACGTGCTGGGACAACGTGAACAACCAATTCAGAACCTCATGCTGTTTGACGGGGAGGACAGTTCAGGACCCGTCTATGCGCTGCATCCTATCTTCCCTGGAACGCCGTTACCCATCATGTCGAGCATGCCTGTCAACGCGCCAATTTCGATAGTCTGAACTTCAGAAACGGAGATATGAAGCATGATTTGCCAGATATTGCATTGCGCGATTGGATAGCAGCGGTATGGGACACGGAAGAAAAGTAGAGTGGAAGCATATGGAGGGCAAAGCACTTGATTGAAAGATACCCAAATGAAATCGCTGAGTTGACAGCGAAAAGTAATAACATCTAATACTTTCAACCCCCACCAATACCCCCTGTTACCAGTGACCTATCTACTGCTTCTTCTTCTCATCCTCAACATCCCCCTTCCCAATGTTCCTAAACAACATCCAGCACAGCCCCACAAACGCGAACAAGACCACACCCACTGTCCCTGCCTCAACCCACCCAGCCATCCTCGTATCAAGCACCGGCACGTCGATCCACTCCACCAACCCATCCGATTGAGTCTGATTCCAAGCTTTAGGCTCCACATGCATGAACCTAGTCTTGGGCCCAAACAAGCCCTCATACCCCAAATGCAAGCGATCAAACGGATTGGTAGTATGCTGTGCGCCCGAATCCGCACGACATGCCCAAAACACAACAGGCCAAGGAACAGGCAACCTGGCGTGAGACGCCGCCTGAGCAGGCATATACCGCAGATGCAACGGAATGCTGACATTCCAGTCCCCCTCCGGCACCTCACGATGCGACGGCAAGTCCTCCCACACGCTCTCCTCCCCATCACCCAGACTGACCTTGGGATATTCAATCTTCTCTGGCTTGGGTGTAGCGAGTTCGAAGAGCGCTGCGGAGCCCCAAGCCGGCACAACCCAGTCTGGGGCTTCGAGATCGGTAGCGCCGGCTAGACTGCGGAGGCGCTTTAGGTTCTTGTCTGCGAGGAAGAGGGTGTCGGAGAATTGGTACTTGTCGATGAAGAGGTAGGAGGGGAGGGTTAGGTGGGTGTGTAGTTTGCAGGAGCGGTCTGGTGGGGTGAGGTGGTGTGATGGGAAGGTTAGGGTGAGGGTTGGGTGGAGGCCGGTTGGTTGGTTGAAGGAGGTGCTGTAGGTTAGGGGGTGGAGTTTGGGTGGTGCGGTTGGGTTCTTGGAGGCTTGGAGGAGAGGGTAGTGTCGAGTAGGGGTTTGGAAGCGCGTGGGCTCTGTGTGTCGTTAGTTTCTTGCTGTCGTGATGATGTGAAGATAGTGTAGTAGGAGTAATATACGTACTCGGTTTATCGTCTTGCCCTAGCACTGTCAAGAAACCTCCAAATTGCACATCTTCGGGGTCGGCATTTCCCTCCAAACTCAATACCCCAATCTCTACTGTCGCTTCTTTACTTGGTAGTCTAATTGTCTCAGTCCGGCCTTCGTTGGTGGATCCTGCATTGGAGGACTCCGCTGTCAGAACAACGCTTCTTGAGATAGTATCGTAGTCCACATCGATATAATCTGATTGAGCAAAGCCATCGATCGCATCCAAACAATGGCTTTTCCCATATTTTTTGCAAAACTTCTGCTGGAAGAAACTCCTAACTTGGTCGATGTCATCCAAGTAGCTGTAGTACTGCGAGGTGGCCGACATTGAGAAGCGTTCTGAGAGGACTGGCACCTTTGTGGAGCTGGATGATGTTGACGAACACTTCAGGTCCGAAGAGATGAGGGAGTGGAGGCTTGAACATAGTGCGTCGTCAGGGGTATCTGATAGAGGCGTGAAGAAGACATGCAGACCAGGTGAGACACGTGATGTGAATGGCGGAGTAGGTGCGTAAGGCCTGGGAGATGTCCAGCGTAGATGTAATTCGTGCCATTGTTGGAAGACTTTACTTATCTACGTGCCATTAGGATGGGTTCGCTCTTTTGGTAGACTTGAGAATGGCAGCAGTACATACTTCTTCAGGTAGCTCATTCAGGCCGAGTGTGATACGGTGTTCCTTTGCAGCATAGACATTGTCCAATGCAAAGTATGGGCCAGAATTGTCTTCGCCGACATCAAGCTGATCGGGAGTAAACTCCTCTGGGTTTGTCACCACATAAGTTATTCGCTGTTTCATGATTGTTGTGATGGAGGTTTCGTTCGACGTCTGTTCACGCGTGATGCTCGCGATGGCATGTGAGTAAAGCGAGCTAGTGCGGAAGCGGCCCTAGCGTGTGTACATCCCTGTAAAGCCTCGGCGGTGCGTCATGGGCCTTCACTGGCGCCGCCAGCTTCTAGATTTACAGCCCCAAAGCACAAGGCATCTCCACCGTGTCCTTTCACATGCTTTTGCCACACGGGTGGTACTTGAGTTGTCTTAACCATCCTTATCGAGCACTCTTCTAATCCACGACCTGGCGACAACATGCATCTCCTCAGCTTCCTCTACCCTGCGCTGCTGGCATCGAGTGGCGCAGAAGCCCTTCGCTCAGACAAAGTCAAACTGGCTAAGATCGAAAGTCTCACACTGCGCAAAGGACAGCAGACATCCGCGCGACGCGTTGACCCTATTCCTCAGGTACGCATCCATCCTACGCGTCTCCGCCTACCCCTCCATGCAGCCTACTAACACATGATAGCTGAAATGCATCGGCGGTTCCGCACGCGGCCTCTACGAACCTGAGATAATGCGCTGCAAGAACAGCGGCTCTGACTACGACGAAGACTCCATACAATGGACCTGCACCGCCTCGCTCCCCGAAGAATTCAAACTCGGCTCCACAGACGTCATCTGCGAAGGCTACGATTACCCCGAAGACCCATACATCTTGAAAGGAAGCTGCGGAGTAGAGTACCGTCTTGTCCTCACGGAGAAAGGCCAAGAGAAGTACGGCAAGGGAAGAGGAAGATGGCAGGGCGACGACGACGATGACGACCGACGTGATGGACCGAAAACCATGGGCGAGAGGATTGCAGGCGGACTCTTCTGGATGCTCTTTGGTGGTGTCGTGTTGTGGATGATATACTCTGCATTGAGGAACCGCGCACAAGGTCCGGATGGCGGCGCAGCGGGAGGCAACAGACCTGGCTGGGGAGGTGGCGGCGGCGGCGGCGGTGGATGGGGAGGAGGCTACAACGACGACAACGACGACCCGCCTCCACCATACTACCCGAACAACCCCAAGTCAGGCTACGGCGCGACACAACCGGCACAAGGCTGGAGGCCCGGCTTCTGGTCTGGTGCGGCAGGTGGCGCTGCTGCTGGATGGGCTGCGGGCCAGTTTGGCAACAGAGGCAACCGGAACAACCAGACGGGTGGCTGGGGCGCTGGAAACGGTAGTGGCAGTCGCTGGAACAACGGCGGAGAAGGTAGCTCAAGGAGTTCGTCTGGTGATAGTTTCTCCAGCACCAGGCATGAGAGCACTGGGTTCGGAGGAACTTCGCGCAGATGATGTGTTGGTTATTAATCTCTCTATTGGCCTAAGAATGATACCCCCTTTTACGCGTTATGGACATGAATCTATATGACTTGGATGCTTCTGGACATGAGTGTACATGTATGAATAAGATATGCAGTGAGAACAATGAACAAACCCAAGATCTGATGTGTGCCGTGCCCACCATGTTGCAATCCCGCAACGACTACTGCCCAGACTGCACTTGACTCTCTCCCCAGTGGCACTCCCACAAACGTTAACCCTAGTTTTGCAATCAAATCACCCTCAATTTTCGCATCTCACCCTCCATCCCCAGCCTTCCAAGGAAAATCCCCCTTCCCCACCTTTACACAAGTCAGCCACCCCACCTTCTGCCTCTCTACATCAAGCAAAGACTCGTTCTTTGCAAGATCCTCCACGTACGCACTCGCTTCCCTCTTCAAGATGGCCAGATCCTCACTTAGACTGGCAACTGCGGAGGGCATGACCTGTTCGAGCATGCGTCGCATATCCTCGTACGGCATGTACCCCTCTCCCTTCCAGATCTTCCGGTAAATTGTACCGCGCCGGAGAGAGCCCTTGCAGTCGTCGTGGAGGTTGGTGAATTCTTGAGCCAGGATGGACCGGAATGTGGATACGATGAACCACGTGTCGAACTCGGAGTTCGTGCACATGGACACGGGATGGCTGTTTGCGCCGCGGCCAACGTTAATCGTCAGTAAGAGCAAGTCGCGCTCTACTTCTGTGCAGCGTTTGTTTAGCTCCTGGCTCTTAGCCGTGATGAGGCCAACGATCTCTTCTGGGAGAGAGGAGCGCGGCGTCGGCCATGGCCAGCTGGGGTGCGCTCCCGAAATGTGGATCAGTGCCTCGGTATATATCGAGTCGTTGTGCAGAGAGAGGGAGAGGATGAGCCAGCGTGCGGGATCGTTTTTGATTGCACGCAGAAGCGCATGTCGGTGCTGGAGAAGGGTGGCATTGATCTGTGATTGTAGGTTGGGAAGATTGTCCAAGCAGCCCAGGTCTTCGGCGAGCTTGGTGAGTTGTTCGGAGTGAGTGAGAGAGGCGGCGATATTTGTAGTCGGCATGTTGATGGGGACGTTATAGAATGCGCTGAAGATTTGATCGTAAATGTCAATCGTGGCGGTGTGGTCTGGGGTGATAGAGAAGGGATTGCTTGAGTCTGAATCCTCGTGCTCGGTTTTGATTGCAACGTCGGCAACATGGTGACTTCCGGTATCTGAAATGACTGGCTTCTCTTCGGTGGTTTGCTGTTGTACCAATACAATCTTACCATCGGCCTCTTCAATAGTGTATGAGGCCCATGCCGGCCCTATTGTGGGCATCATGATGCTGGAAAGTGACTTTGAAAACCATGAGGAGAACCGCGTGAGAATGCTGCTGTGGAGTTGCCATTGTCTCGGCGGAGTGACAAGTTCCGTCTTGATGAAGACATCGCCCGTCGTGAAGATGGGAAAAGATCCTGTGGTATTATGTAGGGTATTAGGTGCATGCGTCACTGTACCATCATGCGACGGTTCACGGAGTGTCTCTGGTGTTAGAAAGCCCGAGGTGACCATCCCGGCATAGGTGGAGATTTCTGGTGGAGTGCTGATTGAATTGTCCTTTGCAGAAGGAACATGGGCCGCATGCGCTGCTGGAAGATGGCCAAGTGAGGGTGGACTTCTAGCATCGCCAGCATGCCGCGAGGAAGACTCAGAAGCCGGAGAAGATAACCCTGACGAATGTGCGGCTGAGTTTAATGGTGAAGTGAGAGGCTTAGAGTCTTCGATGGTCTTTTCTGGTCTTGTATCTTGCGAGCTCGTGGAGTTCGTTACCGGAATTGTCGAAGCACATCGCTTACGCGCCTGCGCGGGTGATTGCGAACGGCCGCGCTTGTCCATTATGATGTCTAGAGAGCGGAAGTGTAGGGCAGTTGAATGAACAGCCTTGTGCTGGACGATGTGGTCGGTCGATGAGGTAAGAGTTGACACCGGAGATGTATATATAGTTGTAGAAACCGCTCGGCCAAGGTGTCGGACTGGTGGTCATCACGGCAATGAGTCTGCCAGCCGAACGTTATACGTCAGTATATCGCTTGCGATTAGCTTTAGTAGTAGTTTGAGAAAGCGGTAGGTGAGCGAGACCGTGTATATTGTGGTGGTCATATGAGGCTGGTCACGATAAGGGTGAGAGACGGCATATACTCCCATGGGTTTATTCAACAGCTTCCAGAAAATATGTTCCTACTTCATGAAGCATACGTATGTGGTGGAATGATAATTCTTGCAGTCAGGTGTGAGGCTGCGAGATTCTATCGCACACCTCATTGTAAGTTGTTCGACATAAATGCGCACTTTGGTGTCCGCGGCCAATGGACCGATTTATGTCATGATCAACACGTAACGCTTCCTTCATGACTATTGGTAAGGATAGAAGGCGAAACTTATGGCAGTTTGTTTGGCGCATATAAATCAAGCTTTGCTGCAGACGCACATCGTTCCTCGCTCAACGAAGACCAGAGGAGGCTCCTACGGCCTAGGTATGCCTACTTTCCAGTATACAATGAGAATAGGGTCTTCCGCATACTTGAGCAACGATCTTTGCGCTCGCCGGGAAGGATATATCCAGAGATTCGGTGTTGATTGAGGTCAAGACTTCCTCTTGATGTCCTTGGTGTTTTTGAATCAACTTGCCAGACTGATAAGCCGGCATCCGAGGGTCCGAAACGCCGCGTGGGCACCAATGCAACAAGCTTCGCTTGAATGCGCGAACAAGCCTTTTCTCCAAAGTTTCCGTGCCAGATAAGTTGGTGGTCTCTTTGGAAAGTGAAAACGACTTTTGTTTGGATATCGGCGGGACAGCCCAGTGCAGAGTGGAAAGTGCCATGACGTTTGGAAAAGTGGAGCTTACTGGATACAAAGAACTGGTGTGGATGTGTTTCTTTGGCGAAGATACCAGTGTAGGATCCTGCGACGTAAGATAAGCCGTGTTTGCGTATCGCCAGTGTTTCCAGAGTCGTGATAAACGGATTAGTAGCTCTCAAACGAGGGGCTGAATGTGACGTCACGGTATCGCTCATTCTAGAATTACCTGCCGTTGCCGCGGAGGTGACACGAATTTTACAGCAGGAGCAACCTGATTAATTTGTGATCACAGAAGCCTGGTCGTACCCCGGCTGTTAACCCTCTGCTATGCAAAACTCGTACGATTCCTTTTCAACACACCACGAGTGTCCACTGCTAGCCTAGTGGAGGCTAGCTCGGTCCTCTCGGAGTTATGTCCGCGCCCATGGGGTCGCTGCCAACATCGCTGTCGCAACTTGTGCTTGACGATCTCCCGACGCCGACCTCGAAGGCGGACGACGATTACGATCCGGATAGCCTTGCATACGACCTGATCAGGTTCACACCCGCGCCGACTGTGATCTTAGATGCGTCGCTCTACGTGCGCCATGTCTCAGATTCGTTAGTACAGCCTGTGAATAGAATCGTCTAATGCCTGCTATGTGCTGACATCTATCAGTTATGTGACTACCTCAAACGCAAGAGATCGCGTTGATCTTGTAGGCCGACATGCCGATGACATTTTCGACATCTCCTCCACTATTCCTGCTTTTGGTCCAGCCCATGCGCTAGTAAGCGCCGCATGTCGAACTGGCAACCTCCAGCAATCGAGAGCTGTAACAGATACGGGTATCGCCTGGCACCTGAGAGCAGTCCCAATTCTGCGCCACGGGATATTGCGCTGCATCCAGATGGAATTCCTCGACATCACCGAAGAACATCAGCGACAGCTTGAGTTCAGGGAACGCTCTTATCAGAATGAAACATTTCAGTTGCTGGTAGCAACCATCAAGGATTACGCCATCTTTATGCTTGACCCGACAGGGCATGTGGCTACGTGGAATGCAGGAGCCCAGGGTTTTAAGGGATACACTCCAGCCGAGATCATCGGCAAGCACTTCTCGGCCTTTTATTCCCAAGAAGACCGCGAGAATGATAAGCCATCTAGAGAATTACGAGATGCCCTCCGCGACGGTAGATGTGAAGACGAAGGCTGGCGTTTTCGCAAGGATGGATCCAGGTTCTGGGCGAACGTTGTCATCACGCCGGTGTATAGTAAGCCTCCCCTCACGCACTACATATGAGACATACACTAACTTCGTTCACCTTCATTCAGAAGACGACATCCTTCTCGGCTTCTCTAAAATCACTAGAGATTTGACGGAGAGACGGAAAGCCGAGAAAAGTCTTATCGCCGCCTATGAGGAGGCATCGAAACTCAAATCGGAGTTTTTAGCCAACATGAGTCATGAGATTCGCACGCCTATGCACGGCATGCTGTCCGCTTTAACGCTATTACTGGACACCAAGCTGGACAACAACCAACAAGAGCTAGCGAATATCATCAAAGAGTCTGGGGACGTGCTTCTTCAGCTAATTGACGACTTTCTCGATTTTAGTAAGCTCGCTTCGGGTAGCTTTTCCATCAGTAACGATATTATAAGCGTAAAGGATATCATTCAATCTGTCTTTCGGGCACAACAGACGTGCCAGAGACCCGAAGTCAAGCTCGAGATCGATATGGACGACAACCTACCTAGTTCCGCTGAAGGAGACTCTCTACGTTATCGACAAGTTGTACAGAATCTCTTATCTAATGCGACAAAGTTCACCGAGCAAGGCTATGTACGAATAGTTGCGCGACTGCAAAAGGAAGACCAAGAGTACTTCACGATCCTGACTGAAGTGATAGACTCAGGCATTGGAGTGCCAGCAAGTGGCTCACAGACCTTATTTACGCCTTTCACTCAGATCGATAACTCCACCACAAAGAGATACAAGGGTACAGGATTGGGTTTGAGTATCTGCAAGTCGCTGGCTGAGCGCATGGGCGGAAGCATTGGCTTTCACCCTAATCCAGCAGGTCCAGGTAGTGTTTTCTGGTTTACCGCAAGGCTCAAAAGATGCAAGCAGCTCAAAGCTTTGGAGGTTCTACAAGAGGGTTTGGCTGGA